GTATGTATGTATGTATATATGTATGTATGTATGTATGTATGTATATATATGTATGTATGTATGTGTATATATACATACATATATATACATACATATATATACATACATATATATATACATACATACACATACATACATACACATATATACATATATATATATATATATATATATATACGCACACATACATATATAATTTTTTTATATAGTCATTATATATATTCATCATGTTCATTTATATTTTCATCATTTTTATATATGGATCTATATCGATTTAGAAATAACACTAAATTAATCTATAAAATTCTATAATGTTCTGATATCTAAAATCTATAATATATTCATCTATATATTTTATAGTTTTATATTATATTTTTTTTAATTATGTATTTATATTTGTTTATGAAAACACCAAATACATTTTGTATAATATATAAAAATAATATAATATAGTACTAACTTGTATATATTTTATCTATATCTGTATAATTGATTTATTACACTTAATAACTCTATAAAGAAATGATAACTATGTACATTTATATATTTTCATAATTTTTTTTAGATAACGTATTTATTTATATTTATTTGTCTTTTATAACACTTAAAATAAACAAAAAACTATGTAGATTATGTATATTCAACATATTTATGAATTTTCATAATTATGTTTTTTTAAAAGCAAAGGTTGTTTTCTTTTTTTAAATCATAATTGGTGATGTAGCATTTGTGAAGAAAACAAAACACATTTCATGTGCGGGTCGTGCTGGTTATTGTTGACTTGCATTGTAGTTTTCACTTATTTATTTTTTATAAATATGTCAGTACTTGACTGTCATATTTGAGAGTCAGACAACAGACAGTGTTGATTTACTTTGAACAACCTTGCTTTTTAAAGACGTTTTTAAATAAAAATGAAACGATTGGCTTCTTTTCTTAATCGGAAGTCATGCAGTGCAAGAGCAGGTGAGGAAGAAAAGGATTCAAGGTCTTTGTGGACGAACCGTCTGAAAGATGAAGAAACGTCCTTAATCAAGTGTGCGTCCTTGAACGAGTGAACGAGACTTCCTCCCCGAGGAAAGAGGGTCTCTATTCATAGACCTTTCTCATCTCTCCGTACCTTTCCCTCCCTTCGCTCTTTCACAACCTTCTCATTCACGATCTGTCCATTCGTCTTCTCTCTCGCCGTCCCTCGTGTAGCATGACATTTTTGTCCTCATTCAGGAGCTCCACAGTTAATTCAGGCTGGTCTTTCTTCTTTAGAGGAGTGAAGAGAAAGCCAGAGAATGACAAACAGTGGCTAATGAATTATAACAAGCATAAGAGCTTCCAGAAATGAAACCAGTCATCGTTTACTATGTGCAAAACTAAACGGATTTCAAACTTTAATGATTTGCCTCTCTTTTCCTGTACATTCAACATTAAGAATGAGCTTTAAATAGCCATAAACATAGTAAATTTAATTTATATAATAATTTTTTCTGTTTTTATTATGCTTTAGGTCATTTTAGGAGCTTAACAGCCCTGGTTCCCATTCACTTCTATTGTATGGAAAAGCGCAGCGTGAACATTCAGCTAAACGTCTCCTTTTTTGCTTTACAGACGTCAGTCAGTCAGAAGGTTTGGGATCAAAAAAGGGTCAATAAATGATGACAGAATTCTAATTTTTGGGTGAACTATCCCTTTAAAGCCACTGCTGTTCCCTTGGCTGGATCTTCTCGCTCTCTGTTTGAAATAAAGCCGAGTTTTAGCATCAGAGTGAAGGATCATGGCGGGATCGAGTCCAAAGCTCACAGAAAGGCAGAATGATCTCATAACCTCCGCAATCCTTCGTGTTTTTCCTCAAGGGACTTTGTAAATCCCATTCATGAAATATCAATTCTTGTGCAGTCGAAACGGCCAAATACCCTCAAAACCCGAAAGCCTCGCACCTGAATGGAATATATTTCCTATAATAAACTTACTGCTCATACTTTCACTATCCAAAGTAGTTTGTGACTGTTAGGGGGTCAATTTAAAACACTTTACAGTATGATTACAATGAGCATCATTTATGAAATATGAGCAAAATCAATTTGTGTAAATTGTTCACAAAGTGTGAATGATTATCCGTCAGTGGTTTTATTCTCAGAATGACCCTGGCCAATATATCATCACTTTTTTTATTTGTTTATATGCTTTTATTTCATTTATTTTTTTTTTTAATACATTTTAATGAAGTTTTTGCATTTGAACAAAGGATTGAGTGAGTGAGTGAGGGAGTGAGTGAGGGAGTGAGTGATTTATTATTATTATATGGAATTTGTGACTTTTGACCAAATATCAGTTGATATATGAGTCTATCACTAATAAAAAATGAAAACAATTTATTAGTATTACCGTTGTAATTTGTATTATTATTATTATTATTATTATTATTATTATTATGTGCTTAGCTAAAATATCAGTTAGTTTGGCCTATCACTAATCTAAAGCTAAAACGATTCATTTAATTATTAATTTGATTTATTAATGTCTAATATATTGGTCTATTACTAATGTCTTTAAAAAAAAGTTTGTGAATTTTTATTTGATTTTTATTTTTTGTGATTTTAATTTTTTAATGTCCAGTACTTTGATCAATTACAAATCTAAAATTCTAACTATGATTGTTTTTTTTTCTTCTTCTTTATGTTTTTGCAGAGCATTATGGAACATTTAGTAATTTAGCTTTAATAGTTTTAGTTGATAGTTTGGTGTTTATATTGAACTTCTTTTCTTTGTTGGTGATTGTTATGTGAGAAAAGGCAAGTCTTTATTACTTGAGATGATTACAAAGTCTCCTGCTAATTCTCTTCACAAAGTATTTTAATCAAACTCTGATTAGATGCAGCTAAGGGAAAGAGATCATAATTAGCTTTAAATTACCTTTCTCACTTCATAATGACAAAAAAGAGCTATTGTTTGTCTTTTAATCATCAAAAAAAGTGTTTTGTTTTTTTTTGAGACGGGAAATGTATAAATGTTCTTAATTCTTTCTGAATGTTTTTCAGATATATCTTGTTTTAATGGAAACCCTCTTTGCACTTTTATATTTTATTATTTCTAAGTTTGTGTTCTAATATTTGTTTGTTTGTTTTTAACAGGAAAAGATTCATATCGAGCTCAGTCAGTCTTTCGAAAAAGATGAAACGTCCATCAAAAATGAGGACAGTGAGAAAATCTCAGAAAAGCCAGAGAAAACAGACCCACTGTCCAAGAAGACACTCTCAAGAGGTGTGTGTGTGTGTGTGTGTGTGGCTTTGTTTTTTTGGCAGAGGAGGTGTTTTCTCACAGGCCAGATGGATGCAACAGAATGTGTGTGATGAATCTCTCTCCATCTCTCTCTCTCAGATTCCAGTCAGGACTACACCGACTCCACAGGAGTAAACCTCCACGAATTTCTGGTCAACACGCTGAAGAACAACCCCCGGTGTGTGAAAATCCCCCCGCCATCTCATTATCACACCCTCACACGAGCACCACTGCTACTTCCTGTCGCTTCATTGAGCTCCTTCCCAAAATCCCATTTAAAATGTATTCTTGGGTTACTATAAATAGGGACATATACATTTTATTTTTTTCCCTAAAGGTTTTTTTGACCATTTTATATTTACAATATATTTTTATATTTTTAATATATAATGTTTCTTAATAACTTTGATATTTTAATTAAACGTATAAGAGAAGTACTGTTTTCCACATGTCTTGCAGCTCTTATCAGTTGGTAATGTGGATGGATGCAAGGCTTGTAGGCACACATTTGAATATTCTAGCACTTGTGCGCTAGATTCTCATCAGGTTGATGAGCTGTGATAAACGCTAATGAACGCTGTTCTTACAGAGACAGAATGATGCTGCTGAAACTCGAGCAAGATATTCTGGACTTCATTAGCAACATCGAGTAAGTTGAGCCCAAAAAACTGGAGAACAGTTTAAATTGACATAATTTATTT